CGCAGAACCTGGCCTTGGGGCGGCAGGGAGAGTAAATCCGGCCCTGGCTCTAAGTCAGGTAACTAAACGTGAGATTGTAGTCCTTCACGGGAGCAAACTTGGAGCAGTGGAAGGGGAATGGAGTGATTTTCTCTTTCAGCCGGAGGGCTAAACAATAAAAATCGTAAGTGTGTGCCCACCTTAACTGTAGAATATATTGCCTTAAAACTAGGCTTTATTTGTAGGTGTCCACAGATAATACACGACCATCTAAAATGGAGAAATCAGGAGACAAGCTCATGTCCATGAATGGCTGCCCTCCCAATAAATCTCTAGGGAAAAAGCAATTGTACAGGTTATAAAACCTCGTCTGATCACTTTTGTATCCCTGTGGTAAGCCACCATCAGGAATACCTAACACTTAAAAAGCTGTGCAAAATGACGATATGAGGTGGTTGGTCATTGCGTGCATGTTCAACCACTCTGTGATGATCAGACGTGATGGTAATGCAAAGTGTAGCTAGCTTCCACTGCAGCCAGGTCAGATTTCATTGTTCAAGTCAAGTAACAAGCACAAATAAATGATCAGCTGCCATAGATTACAGGTACTTTGCACATTAAAACATTCTGACAAAGGAATGTATGAACATATTCACATATTCTCCCATATATAGGTCTCAGGCTAATAACAGTGAAGGCACGCTGGATGTGTACATGTTTTTTGTAGAACTCATTAGTATTAATGATGCTTTTAAAGCTGATCTCCAGGCAAGCTGCTAACTACACATGCGTGGGATCTGATTTGTACGACATAGAATTGGTATTTCTATCAATCCAGTCCTAAGATGTACACTATTCTGCCACACAGCAATGCCCTGTCTGGCAGGGTAGAAGTAACTCTGCTGCAGTTAAGTAACATTTATAGGTTTTGTCCCTCCCCCAGCCTTTGACTGCATAGTAATAAGAAGAGAGGCAGCAAATCAAATAACTTATTTTCTTTCGCTCTGCATTCTCTTTCTATCAGCATGCTCCTTATTAACACATAAGCAGCCACTGCATACAAATTGCACAGTCCTGGACTTCATGCACTGACTGGTACTGCTTATGTATAGATTACTGTAAATTATGTATATGAGGTTCCTTTAATGCTAGACTTATTTGCCTTTTTTGAAATCTTTAGGAAAACTGTCAGTTTGATATCTCAAAAAATAAAAAAATGTTACCCAGGAAACAGCTTGTAGCCAATACATTGGATGTACTTAGTGCAACCTTTCTCAACCAGGGTGCCGCATGGACACCTATGACATTAATACAGGGTGGCTGCATCCAGGACCTCCGCCAGCATTCAGAAGAGGACAGAAGTCCACAGAGGACTCTGGCGTAAAGGAGGGTCATTGATTAGAAGGAGGCTCACAGTGGGAAAAGGGGGACTCTAATGTGAAGGGGAAACTCCACATCTTTTTTTGTTTGTTTGTTTTGCATGGGGTCCGCCCTTTAAAATCCATACCGCATCCCTATTTAGGATAAGATTTTGGAGGGAACCACACATCATTTTTTACAGTTTAGTATGGGGTGCCTTCAGATCTTGCTTACTTTTGAAGGGTGTCTCGATGAAAAAAAGTTTGAGAGATGCTGATTTAGTGTATTTATGTAAAATGGTGTATACTGAAGAAAAGAAAACTTCAGGGTAAATATTATATTGGTTCACTTATAAACCATATATAATCTCTAGGTCATGTGTATTCTTTAAATAGTAGACTAATACCTCATGACAAATCAATATATAGAACCGTGAACAGAGTACCGTAATACATATTTGGCAGACCTACTAATTAATCGTATTATTATTTTGCAGACTTTGGTAGAATATGGAGCAAACGTGACCATACAGAACCATGCTGGAGAGAAGCCATCTCAGACTGCTGAGCACCAGGGACATAGCATGTGTTCCCGGTACCTGGTGGTGGTGGAGACTTGCATGTCTTTGGCATCTCAAGTTGTCAAGCTCACCAAGCAACTTAAAGAGTAAGGAAGGTTATACATTAAAGATACTTGAAATTATACCCTGCTTGTTCTGCATGGAAAATATATACTGTACTACTGCTAGGCTAAGCAAAGTGTGGTAACTGATAGAATTCCCCTTTCACTTCTCTAACTCACGTAAGGAAAAATCGAATTGGTGTTTTTCGTTTTTGGATATTCCATTATAGACTCAACTGTGATTCTTTATGCTCATGTACTTAAAGGACATATCCAGGATAATTTTCACTTACCTCCTCTAACTGATCATTAGAAGAAAAAAAAGCCCTTTTTTACTTGCGTTAAAGCCACAAATGTGACACTCAGGTACCAAGGTCTCGCTTTTGTTTTGTTTACTTTCTGTGGTTGTGCTTCTCTGGGTATCCTTGCCACTGCCTGTATGACTTGGACACTTCCCATTGGCAGTTCAGAGGCAGGGTCCTCTTAGGATACAGAAGAAGAGTGATGTCACATGAGGGGCAGTAAGGGACAAGTGGTCTCAGGCGCACCTGCAGTGCTGGATTAATGATCCCCTTCATCTGGAGACAGCAGTGGCAAGGGACCCAGACAGGAACAGGTATGGCAAAAAACCCTCCAGTATAGGTTGTATGGGGGACGGAGGTAGTGGTGGGAGCGGGAACAGAATTATCCAAAAATGGGGCTTTAGACATTCAATTTGTGTTAAAGGTTACATGGTTTCTGACTTTAAAAGAGTATAAACCATTAATAATCAATTTTGTTTTGTAATGCTATCATGGCTTTTGCAGATAAAGGCAGGTCACAAGTATGTGAGTGATGATTTGGTCATAGGCATTGGGGTCCTGTAGAAAAAAATGGCTTGCAGTTATCTACAGATATCTATAGCATGGCTTGTAAGCATAGGATACTGTGTAGCTACATTTCATATGAACTAAATAAAATACTTTCCTGTAGGGTTCAAACACAAGTATAATAAAAACAGAAAACACAACAAAGATATGTCGATTATTATTTCTTTACCCTGTAAGATTGTCAGGTTGAGGTACATTTTGAAGTATATGTAAAGCCACATTTTTCTTCAGTTTTGGATAGTGTAAGGAGGGGTTAAAACCCCTGTCAGGTTTTCTTCCCATCTGTTTTCCAATAGTGGAGTTACCTTCACTTCCTGTCTCATATATGCAACAGGAAGTAAGACAATAACACTGGAACAAGTGTCCCCATTTGAAGACTTTTTCCTGTTCTGGTGACAACTCAGAATTCTGGATTCCGTCACTTTTAGTCCTAATGACGCTAGTTACTAGGGAACGTAAAGAGGGTAAATCTGCCCAGTGTGGTTACAGAAAACAATAAAAATCTGTCAAGAGATCTAACCCTTCCCTACTGTTTTCAAAACGAAAATAAAAGTTTCAGGTTTGGATACCCTTTAAGGATAATGTGATTGTGAAGAGCTCATTTTATAATTGTTATGCGATCAGCACGTAATTATAAATGCGTGAATTGCTTTCCATGTCCACAAATCCACCTCACATCCCACTGACTCACTGAACACATAAGGATATGTGTAAACCTTTCACAGATCACGCTACAACAGTTTTTGTGACTTGCAGGTTCTATTTCATGCAGTGGTCCTGCCATGTTGTGTGATATGCCCACACATCTTCCTCTGTCTCGTACCTGCAGAACCATTCACACAAACATCAGTCATAAACCATGACTCCGGTAGGGCTGAATATCGAAATTAAATAGGTATCAAAACCAATCACTCTTTGAGAGCCACCCCTACCCCCCAATACCCCTTAAATAAATACAAACACAGATTTTCCTTTGAAATATTTCTGGGCCACAGCTTTACTACTAAAAAGTAAGTTACCATGTTCCAATATTAAAATAATAATAATTAGATCTTAAAATTATCCAAAAAAACCTCCCGCAAAGGCTTTATCCAGTGAAGCAGGTCCTTGACAGAATTCTGATGTGTTAGGCACATGTAGCAGCCACCAGCCATTGCACACCAGTTCGGTGGGTACACACTACACTGACAAATTTTGAAAATCTTACCATACTATAGGTGTCCTTGCTTCTTTCTCAACCAATCAGTTATAGGCTTGATTGCTAATGTTTGTTACAAGCATTACCCAAATGCAGTATTTATGTAAAAATAGCAACTATGAAATACCTTTATTTTATCTTCTTCATGTTCTCAGTAAAACCATAAAATATTTCTATTTTTGTATTTTTCTTGTTCATCACCTGTCTCCCTGTCACAGTCTTGATGTTGTTGAAGGGCTGCTTCACCTTGGACAAAACAAAAATCTAAAGAACTTAAGTTACTCTGCTTCATTACGCTGATGCCTCTACTAACACTGTAAGGCCTGTATCACCAGTGACAGGATCATTTAAGGCCTCATTCACACTGAGCGACATGAAAATCGACTTTGAGCGATATTGCTCGACGAGCGATATTGAGCGATGTGTCGCGCGACTTCTTCCTATTGGGCTGTATTCAATCAGGAGCAATATCGCTCAAAATCGCTCGAATGTAGGAGCGACAAGCTACCAGCGACGAGCTACAAGCGATATTGAGTGATATTGAGTGACGAGATGTGAACAGCTCCATTGAAATGTATTGGTGAAGCTACATAGAGCGATATCGCACGGAAATATGAGCGATATCGCTGCAAAAATCGCGCGATAAATCGCTCAATGTGAACGGGGCCTAAATGTGCAGAGAAAATACACCCTGCTTCCATGGTGTCACTCCCTTGCTGACCGGATGAACCAGACATCACTCCCTCGCTGACAGAAACACTAAAAAAAAATTCAATCGCCTTCTAAGTAACGATGTGTTGCTTATCTGACCGGCAAGGAAGGGACACCGTGGTAGTAGGTGATTCGCTGTCTTGTTAAGCGATCTAGTCACGGTATTGCAAGTGTGAGATGGTCCATTTCTGTGTTTGTATTTTGAAGTATTGGCCTTTCTAACCATGTGATCGTGTTGGTTCTACATCAGAGCTACTTCAAATACAAAACAACACCTGTTTTACAATCAGCTTGTTGCATATCTAGTGTCCTTAGATGAGACCCTTGTAAGAGAGAGCTGGTTGAAAAGATTTTAATGGTGCCCTTAGCACAAGGGTAGGCAACCTCAGCACTCCAGCTGTTGTGAAAGTACCAATCCCATTATGCCTCTGTCTCAAGGAGTCAAGTCTGTGGCTGTAAGAGTTTTGGTATGCCTCATAGGATATGTAGCTTCACCAAAGCTGGAGTGCCGAGGTTGCCTACCCCTGCACATAGCAAAACAAGTTTTTCTGTAATGTTTTCATGTGGATCTCATTTTAGATGCACGATGAAGTAAAAAAGGGTTGCTATGTGACAACTCATAAAAATATTTTTCAGTTTTGTAGTCAAACCCTCATTTTAACCCACATAGTTAATGTGTGATTTTGTGCAAATCAAATTTGACACTACAGCAAATTAATATTTCATATGTTAGAAGTTGATCCCACCAATGTGTCCTGTGAAGGCCTTTACCAAACCCAAATGTTGCCTAAAAACAGACCCTGGTGGTGCTGGCTATTTCCTCCTGTTACCAAATACAATACAAGTGACCAATTTTCTATCAGCCAGTTGGCAGTATTCACTAACACTGAGTGAATCTCTGTAAAACTTTTGCTGGCCTAGTCAAAGTCTATAAAGGGGAATCCAGGGTACCAGAGACATTTTTATGATATAATGTGGTTGGGGATGAACTAAAGATGTCTGTAAAGAACAAAGTCAAGTGAGGCTATGCGTGTTTTATAATAGGAGCGCTGCTCTGCCATCTGCTGGCTGTTAATACATTATGCAGCTTTCAGAGCACTACGCCAACAACTTATCAAATGAGTGTTCTTTTTAGTGTTAGCTGTTATCTACCCTTTGTGTTGCAATAATTAAACAACTTGTGCAAAGTACGTAATATGAAGCATGAATTGCGTGTACGATGCAGCCACAAAGTCATTTTTTGGCAGATATATTTACAGCACTGTTCTTTATTATTATGTTGGCTCTACAGTGATAGTAATAACAGACATGTCTATACAACACAAATGTGCATGTCTATACACTAAGAAGACATCCCTGGTACCCGCTTGTCTCATTCTTATAAAAGAGCACATTGGCCATGAAAACTAGTGTTGGTGATTTACTAGCTAGAGTAATGAATAGGGTATGTCTGTTGTGACCTAGTCATAGATAAAGTGTTTATCCTGTAATCTGACTGAAAATCAGCAGCAACAATAGACAATGATCTTCTAATATCTAGATACTGTTTTATACAGATTATTCAGACAGATGCTTGCAAGGCAGCTGTTGCAGAGGTAGAACGTCTACTTCTATTTCTACATGGCCAAGATGGCCTGGATTGGATTTTACATTGCATTTTTTTCTTTACTAGCATTGCAGTTTCTCATACTTCAAAAATATTTCTTTGTTCATACTTCTGCATATCATATAAACAGGGCTATTCACAAAAGGGTGAAGGAATTGGAGTAGGCAGGAGAAGTGAACAATCTAGGACAACATAGCTGAACTGGATAGTGAGCTGAATTGGAGCATTTTTCCAAATCAGATATGTTGTCCTAGATTGTTCACTTCTTCTGCCTTCTCCAAACTCTTCACCCTTTTGTAAATAGCCCTGTAAGATGCTAATAGTGTTAAAGACTCCTGGAGCTTTGGCCATAATGTCAGCATATTGAGGTGCAGGTAAATTGGGGGCGTCGGTAGCCCTGCTGCCCCCTGTCCGGCCACACTGTCCCAGGTTGCTTAGCTCTTTTTTCAGCACACCAGAGTTCTATGAAGAAAGTCATTTATTTAAAGCAATATCATTATCAACTCAAAGTACCAAGGTTTGTAAAATCATTGAACCCCTTTATCTAGTACGCTATGGGATTAATATATTAATGGTGTAGAAGTTGCTTACTTACCCAAGTGACTTGTTACTTTGAAATGTGTATTTTCACTTTGCAAAGAGATTTAGAGCAATTAAGGTATAGCTATGTTGATCATAAATACCCAATCGTGTACTAGGGATATTTTAAAAAGTAGTATGCTTGCTTAAACATGATTGGTTGATTGAATTAAACACAGCTTCATTATGTTTATTTAAAGCCAATGAACATTCACTTTGCTAAGTGAACTGTCTATATTCTTTCAGTAAATGAACAATCTTGCTCTCTGTGCTACACTACTGCAGGAGGCTACGCTGCTGACATAGTTTGCTCACCACCACTAGACCCCCATTTTAGACCCCACATTTTGTGCCCCTGCGCAATGCAGCTTTTTTCTTTTATCCTGTTCACATGGACTGAGATGGTACTTGAGTTCCGTGTACGTGTGGCTTCTACGCCTCCGGTTGAGCACCATCGTTTAATGTGTATTATATGGTAGCAAAATATGCAGACCAGCCTGTCAATGTTCTCATCAATTTTGATACTGTTTGACAAATAACAAAATATGTGTATTGGTGCATTGATGTTTTTTCACACAGGGGTATGCATTGTATGTCAGTTTATTGGCATGTAAAATAGCATAAAGTAGGTACTGCACATGTTCGCTGCATGCCCGCTGGCACTGATGTTAGTCATCCATGGAAGAAATATGTAGGGTGCACAAGACACCCGTACAATAACATAACACACAGTTCACCTATAGCAATCTTATTCATCCTTTCTTCTTTTTATTCAACAAGGGGAAACAATCTGATACTTGATCTGATACTACTCTGAAAATGTTTCTTAAAGCTGAAGTCCGGACAGATATAACAATACACACATTTATGCAGTTACGTATTTAGTAAAACATCATGAGATGTATTTTTAAACGCAGCTTGTGTAAGTTCTTAAATCAGTCTTAATATCAGTCAATAATCTCCTGTAAAGCAGCACTCATACTGATAGAGGGAGGGGCAACATTAGGATCCAATTAAGTTCCATACAAGTGCATGTGCTGGAAAGGAACATGTTGATAGTAAGAGAGAGCAGAGGGTGACTTATTATTTTGCTGCTCATTTACTGTTCAATCATATCCTGGGTGCAGGGAGGTGACCAAGCTGTATTGCTTAAACATAGTAAAGAAAGGTTAAGTCACCAGAATAGCTCTGCTGTCTGCCGAGGGCCGTGCATATGTAAAGAGTGGAGGGACAATATTACAAATCCTTTGGCAGGTAAAACAGCTGCAATATATGTGTTTCAGCTGTGTATTTGTCTGGAGTTCAGCTTCAAAATATACTGTATATCTTGTTTCTTGTCTAAAAGTAAACCATCTAGCATTGCAAAGCTGTATATTTCTAGTTGCACAATAAAGTAGTGACATGCAGAAGCTATAAGTGGTGTCTTGGGAAGGGTTATATCCAACAGAAATGCAGTTTAATCTATTTTCTTTACAGGCAGACGGCCGAACGTATTACTTTACAGACACACCTCCAGCAGCTACTGGAAGCACAGCGATCTCTGCCAACATCCCCCAGGTATTATAATGCCTCATATTTATTCCCTGCCAAAAGATTCAATAAAAAGGGAATCCAAATGCTACAGGAAGTGAAGATGATAACAGAAATAAGGAAACAACGATTTGCTTGACAGGAAACTTCATTTCCTCACAAACTGTATCAGAGGTTGTCCATATGAAAAACATAACATTGAAGGGAAACATGGGAACTTGACAATGGAGGTGGAAGATTTCATTACATAGGCAGTAAAGCTGTAAGAAGATTTCCTTCATGTTTAAAAACCCCAGTTAATGCAGAAGAAACCAGTAAAACTTAAAGTGAAATAGCTAATTATATATTCGTATAACTATCACAGACCTTTAAACAGCCCCGATGCTGGCGACGTACACTGTACGTCGTCAGTCATGAAGGGGTTAATTATGATGTATGCTTATGTGGTACACTCAGAGTGGGTGGGGAGAATTTGGAATCCATAAAGAATGTGACCATCATGTTGTCCTATAAAATATTAAATAAAAGGGGCTATAAATATTATATAAAAGAACTTGCAAGTAATGAGTCTTCTGGTTTGATAATGTCTGGTGTTACAAAACACATAAACTACAATATATATTATTTAAATCAGTTTTAATGTCCAACTTCGTAAGACTATACATCCTCCCGTCTTTGTCCCTAAAGCTCTTTTTGTTAAATTAAAAACAAATCCCTTTATACATATTTTAAACCCTGCAGTCTTTTAGCTAGTCATGTGACCTCACAAGTCCTTTGTTCTTCTCTGGCATAGCAGGACGCTCATATAATGACGTATGCGCCATTCTGTACAGTAGTACTGTTAGGATAGGCTAGCCATATGAAACACCACCAGGAGTTTGTGTCCATGGTGGCCTGGGCTCAAAGGGAGTCTGTTGGAGGAAACTGGATGTCATGCAACCCAGAAGACAACTGATTGTGGATCACAAAACAGTGGCATTTAAGCTAATGTTAACAATATTTTTTGAAATCCAAAAAGTTTTGCAATATATAAACTTTAAAAATAAATCTTATTATTCCATAAAAGATTCATTAGGAAATATAATCACAGAGATCTGAAATAGCTGCCTTAACAAAGGAGCCTCATTGCCACAGGCATAAAAAAAATGCATAAATGCATAAAGCCTATATTTCTGTACATATTTGAATGCAGTATGTACAAATCTATGGGCCCATAAACACAGCTGTGTCTGAAGCCATGTTCCTTGCAGCAGCGTCCCAAAAAAATGGAACAGAGCTGCATCCGAGGCCTGTGAATACAGCATTTTTTATACGTGTACACATGTAAGCATCTAAGCATCTGGTATTGAAATGAAGTATTCTGGGATTGCATACAGAGCTAGAAAAGTTTGTATGCATCTAAACACATTGGGACACAAACGCATCTAGACACGTCTAAACTAAGAACTTGTGTTCCTTCAGCTGCACATGTGAATGAGGCCTTAAGGATAAAAGTATAGTAAAAAAAAAAACTGGATTCAAGACAACATGATAGTGACTTCTGTCTTGTAAAAAATATTTGAAAGCATGCTAAGAGATAATGTGCAAAAAATACACATTAGAGAATACTCTTAAAACAGAGAATTACCATGGGTTCATGTAGGATAGGTTTTATGTAATTAACAGCCGTTTTTATGAGACCATGGAAAACTGGATATTGGATGTGAATAAATCTCAATTGAATTCAAATGAAAAAAAAGCTGGGTTTTCCAATTTAGAAATAGATTAGAAAAACTGGACTGAAAAAAAAGGCATAACTGAAGTTGTGTATATCTCAGATCATGGTAAAGATTTGAAGAAATCTATTTTTATTGCAAGGATTATTTCAAGGGCAGGGTCCATGAGCCACATATGGCAGAAATATATTTTTTTACAGTATATGAGGGGATTCTTTATTGTATAGGCGTTAAGGTATGAAAAATGTGCCACATTTGATACTAATGGCAAGAAAGATCTGTAGCAGAAAAGAGGCTTGATAGTTATATTTACTAAAAGATAGTGTGAGAGCAATACAGATTACCAGTAGTTAGACATCAGGTAAAGTTACCAAATGAATGTACGTAATCCTTTCCAAAAAAGGGAAACTTCTAGGTAAATGCTGTTTTTGCATCTCAGGTCTTTAAGGCAATGTTCCACCCGCTGGGTCTTTGAAAGCTAAACTCCAGGCAAAACTGCAGGCTAACCTTTCAGCCATCCCGTGGCTTGCCTGATCTACTGGTTTCCTCAATAGTTCACAGTTTATACCTAAATCTATTAAACTTTGCCCAAGGCCACCATTTCTGTTCTAGATGATGGGCCACTGCTGCTAATCTTTTTATTCAAAGAATCAAGCAACTTTTGGGTCACTGCTGCTCTCTCCCCTTGAACAGCGTGATTGATTGTTTAAGCAGACTTTGTAACATCATTTAGTCAGGGCAGCCTAGAGTTGACAGTTCTAGTCTGTGGCTAGGTAGCCCGCAACAGAGGGGGAGAGAACTAACGGCATAGCAGCCCACCTCACATGCAAGGAGAACACACAAAAGAAGCACTTTTTCTCCATGGCTCTGGAAGGAATGAGACGGATGCTTGCTGTTGGGAGCACTTCCCCCCCATTGTGAGCCAATACAAACAGGAGAAAACCTGACCAAGCACCGGTTTCCGGTGGAATCGTTTATTGAAATTTGTACCACATTACTGGTGTCTTGCCCAAGGTCCTCCCCCTCTGACATGTTTCCCCCAATCACTGGCTTAGTTGTAGAATCATATTTTGTGACTAAGCCCCGTGATTTGGTGAAACGTGTTAAAGGGGTGAATCTGGGGCGGGACACCAGGGGTATGGGACAAGCTTCAATAAATTATTCCATTGGAATCTGGTGTGCGGACAGCTTTTTTCTGTTTTATATGAGCCCTCCTCACATGCTACAGTCCTCAGTGCTCATTGGAAATGTAGTCCCATGAAGTGCGCCTCAAGTACTTAGAAAGTGATGTAGGGCACGCTTAGATCAATGCTCTTGGCCACAGGAGATCATTGGCATTTGCAGGCACAATGGATGATGTCACAATTGATAAAAAATATATTTTGGGCTAAAGAAGAAGGTGAACTAAATATATTATATACAGTGCAGTTGCAGATGGTGAGAGGATATTGAAAGGATATTGGCAGGAAAAAGATGGAGCAATCCCAAAATTATGCTTTAAACTAGGGATGCACTGATACTCGTATCAGTATCAGTGCTGATACTGAGTATGTAGGAGAGTACTCATACTCGCCCAAATGCTCTGATACGTATCCCGATACCGTAACCTCCAGTTAGAGGAAGAGGCATGCCATTATCCGCATCCTGGCTTCCAGATTGGCCGAGAAACCAGCTCCATGCTGTTTGGTCGGCTCGGTGTTGTTCCCACCCAGTCAGCATGAAGCCGGCCAAACAGCATGGAGCCAGCTTTTCAGCCAATCAGGAAGCCAGGCAGCGGGTAATGATCTGTGTCCCTGCTTCCTTATTGGCCGGGAAGCCAGCTCCATGCTTCCCAGCCAATCAGCTTAGAGCCAGCCAAACAGCATGGCGGCAGCTTCCTGGGCAATCAAGAAGCCCAGGGCGGGTAATGACACGCTGCCCAGCTTTCTGATTGCCCGGGAAGCCAGCTCCATACTACCGGAAGTACCGGTATCGGTACCCAGTATCGGCGAGTAACTAAATATAAATACTGGTATCGGTGTATTCTTAATTTAAAACTTTGTATGGCTTTTACTGAACCGAAACATTAAATGTATTAGATAGTCTGGGCTTCTGGGTTTCATCAGCAGAGGGCTAGTGTTTGTTGACAATATGCCCGAAGGAAGGAAGCATTATCTAAATTCTTCTACCTATACTTTGTTCAGCAGGTAAGTTATTCATGTGTTGCTGCATAGGCTAATCAGAAATATCAGTAAAATAGCACCCCTCCACTATGAGGCAAAATTGCCAACAGTAACCCAGACTAAAACAAGTGAAGTTTTTACGTTTCTGAACTTGACATACATGTTTTTTTTTTACCTAATTAACCATGTAGCTGTGCATTTTCTCTTTGAAAATCGCAGACTTTATTTCTGGTAAGTAACTTAGTGTTGGTTATGTAAGGGGAACAGAGACCTCTGCTGTGATGAATTTAGATATTGGTCTGTGCTCAGTTTTTTTAACCTCATTCTTGAAGTTGTGAGGATTACGTGTACATTATCACGAGCTAGAATTTCACATCTTGAAATGCACTTATATGTCTTGTAATATAGGGACTGTTTATTTAGCACGTTGAGCAAGGATTCCATAGCTTCATAGCACACCATTAAGTCGATTGGACTGCTCATCAAATCGAGTCTTTCTGGTCCAACATGCAATAGTGTAATTTGATAGTTGAGCTTGGGAAGGGTCCTACACTTGATTCCTATGAATATCCTACCACAGAACTGGTTGGATGTAAGAGGACAATTCATCAATATGTAATCCAGATACACAGACTTTTTAACAAGGTGCTAGAGATGGAACATTGTGAATATTTTTCTAATGCTCTTCATATTGTACTGAAATCTGGAATAGGATATTATATAAACTACAATTCCAACAAAGTATCAGTAGTAAATCTGTAATAAATAAACATTATATGCACCATCATTTTCAGAAGGGTTCATTTATTTAGTAGCAATACCAAAAAAAACCTACATTAAGATACTGATTGTGGTTATTCTTTCTCCAAATTCAGAATACTGATGAATACTGTACAAATGGAATAGTAGTCACTGGGTATATCAGAGCATTCACTGCTTAGTGCAGCACATACATTGAAGACATAGTCCACCTTTTGCAAAATAAATTAATAAATGCACCCACATTGACAAAAACAAGTGTGCATTTGTTTGCTCCTGCAAACTAGTCCCCTAGCCATGCAGGGTATTTCCCTGACCTTGGTATGGACCCTCTGTCATGGGGCTGGAGGAAGTCATCAATGGACTACAAGTGCAGTGATGTCACCACACTTGTGGTCCATTGACATCTATAAGTACCTTTACCACAGCGGCAGATCAGACTTGTAGTCTTTACATTCACAGATCCTGGGCAGAGCCACACATACAGCTGTGTTCAGTTGTGTATAGAAGCCTGCTGGGAGAAGAACCCTGCAAATCATGTGAGGGCAGTAGGGTTTGGGGGTTTGGCTAGCTAGATCAAATAACGTATTGTCCATGTCTTATTATCATGAAAAATATAGAGAATGTAAATGCTATTATTATAATACAGAAATTTGTTTTAGGAGGTATTGTAGTCAATCTGTTTTTAATGAATATGTTTACATATATTTTACATTAAAGTATGTATGCAGGAAGTACATTAATAAGTGTAGATTGCACAGAACTCCATGGACATCACAGAAGGACTGGGAACATTTGCCCTGGTGGGAAAACACAATCAACTGGCCCTTTCAAAGTAGTGACGCTTTCCTGTGGGCTAAGCCTTGGTGGAAAACACAACCAACTGGCCCTTTCATGGGAGGGATAGCTTCCTGTGGGCTACACCTGGGGGCAAGATCTAACCAAATAGGCCTTTTGTGGTAGGGATGGTTTACTGTGGGCCTGGGAGTAAAACACAACCAACTGGCCCTTTGATGGTAGGGACAGCTTCCTGTGGTCTAAAAAATAGTGTACAACATAAAGTATGCAGTAGCACTATGGTGATTGATTGTTTAGATTGTTCCTTTAACAAATAAGTTCAAAAATCTTCCCAAAGCGAAAACCTGTTAGAGTACCACTTATAAAAATCTGTCTAAGAGGCCTACACAGCACAGAGCAAAATCAGTAAACAGGGTACAATGATAAAGCAGACCTAAAGGGACATTTTAACTATAGGTTAATGTAGCTTCCATTAACAATTGCTCTACCAAGCCCTTCTGATATTTACATTTGTTCCAGAGTGGTGGAGGAAAATCAGGAACATCTATATGAATGATCATAGACTTATAGTAATTAGTTTAAAGAGTTAAATAAGAAAGCAACACACTAAAATCGTGTACCACTTACATTGGTTCTAGTGAATATTGGTTGATTGATAATGACCCATGTACAAATTAAGTCACTTGTATGAATAATATTTTTTTTTAAACTACAAAATAGTATCTGGGAATGAGAAATGTTTGCAACACATTCGTTTTTAGACTTAAATGTAAGGGGAATCATGTAATAAGCCATACATCAAGCTGTTTTGTTTTTTTGTTACAGTTCACCATCTTCCCCTGCATCTGGAAGCCTTCAGAGGAAGGTCCTGGAATCAGAAGATATGGCACAGAAAAACAAACTGAATGGTATTCATGAAAGCTATCAGTCACTTGGTACATCAGTTCCCAACAGACTCAGGTGTAGAACCCTTGATGAAGAATCTGATAAGATTCTAAGGCAGCTATTAGGAAAGGACTTAGCAGACAATGTTTCTAGTCCTGAAAAACTGTCACTGGAATTTCAGGATGGGCTGGGAAATCGGAGTGGGAAACGGATGCCATTGGAGAAAAGAGATTTTAAATTGGCTCGCCTAAGGCAGATTATGCAGAGGTCTCTCAGTGAGTCTGACACAGATTCCAATAACTCAGAGGATCAGAAGAATACACCAGTTAGAAAAATTGACAAACCAAGGCCACAGCCTATAGTAGAAAGTGTGGAAAACTCAGAAACTCTTCAGATGATGATTAAAAAACATACACAGTCAAACACCGCAGGACGGAGGTTTGCTTTGGGACTCAAATCCAAGTCTGTGGATGGCCAGAGTCCATCGCCAACATCAGAAAGCAGTGATCCAGACTATGAACCTCAGTACCAATCAGGGAACATACTTCAGTCTTCAGAATCTTCTTCTTCCAACAGCTCTTCAGCACAGAAGACAACAAGCCCAAAAAGTGCTTTAAAATCCCCATCCTCTAAACGTAAGACTTCTCAAAACCTGAAACTCAGGGTGACTTTTGAAGACCCTGTTGTTCAAGTAGAACAGATTGAGGTAGATAATGAAAGTAAAGATAAAGATGGTGGAAAGACTCCTTCTAAAGCTTCATCGAATGGTGAAATAGGGGAACAGCAGAAAAGGACATTTGGTGCTTTTCGATCTATTATGGAAACTTTTAGCAACAACCAGAATAACAACAATAACTCTCAATCTGCAAACAATGTCAAAGCACCTTCATCATCATCGTCATCTTCATCATCACTGTCTTTTTCCTCATTAGGCAGAAAGTCAACAGATACAAAGGCATCACCTGCAAACAGTGGAAAAGGAAAGAACAAAACTGTAAGTGAAAAGTACTGTTCCTTCCAAAACAGGATATACAAGCCAATATTTACTTTTCTTTTTTGAACTCAGTCATTGTAATTATTTCACTTATATTGCAGTTTACCTGTCCTTAGATGTGGTGGCTGCATTGATTCTTCTTTACCTGGTTATCCTGCCAGTTCCATACTGTCCTAGAGTGACAATGCTCACTCAATGTACTTTATCTCCCCTCCCCTCTTCCTCTTTTCCCTAACAAGGGGAGATGATTTGTAGACCATAGTGTGAGCTGGGAACAGTGTAAATGATAACTGTGTTGCACACCCAGAGACCACAGGAAGTTAGCTCACAAAATTTATAACAGGTATTTTTTGCAGTTATAGAAGAGATATAACAAAACACGTTTAATGGTATATTTAAAGCTAAACTCAAGGCACAAAGCCTTTCATTTATATATGTATTAAATATATATCCTCCATTGTCATAGAGGATAAAAATCCACGTTGTGTGCACCAAATGCCTTTGGAAATTCAGTTACCACTTTGTAAAAGTAGCAGTGTCATTAGGGATGTCCCGATGCCACTTTTTCAGGCCCAAGTACAAGTACAAGTACATCCCCTCATGAATGGGTTTTTCTTACCAGCTTTTAAGAGGAATCACACAGACAAAGTGAAGTGGTAGCCTTTAATTGCTGCCTACCTGCAACCGACAAATCTTTCTCTGCAGAACATTATACCCAGCACACCTCATAATGAAGAACGCTGCACCCATCATATCTCACAACTGCATTGCATTGTATTCCTTACACCATCACACCCAGCACAAATCTAACTGTAGAACATTGCACATCTACGAAAAAGCACTGCACCCAGCATGCTCCCTACTGCAGAACAATTCACACCTCATTCCCCTGCGCATTTTGCAACTCACATGGCAAAACACCACAACCAACATTGCACAATCTGCTGAACAACGCACTCCTCACAATACAGAACATGGCACCCAGCACAAGTCAAACTGTAGAATAATGCACTCCTTACACTGCAGAACACTGCACCCAGCATGCCTCAAACTGTAGAACACAGCACCCTGGACATCACAAAGAACATTGCAGCCAGCACAACTGGGTGAATATTGCAAACAATGCACGCTGGAGAACATAATGCACTTCATGACATTATATGCAACACATAGCACTAATGAACAATATTACACTTATGACTTCACATTACAGACACCATCATGCATCATCCTTTTAATTTGGATTGGCGGAGCTACTGCTTGGAGAAGGGAATAGGCATGTAATTTATAGGATTGGTTTCTTGGGCACTCTGCAAGCCCCGTTCTTCCTTTTATTATTTTATGATCCTAAAATGTAGAAATAATTCCCCCTTCCCTGATGAAATCAAAGATGGGGGCCATGCAAAGCTTGACCACCTTAGTCACTATTACCTTTTAAATTGTACGTAAAGTCAAAGCAATTTTTTTTCCACTTAGTTTTAGATGGAGAAAGGAATAGTTAGGATCCCTATCAGGTATTTTTTGCTGTGTCCCTTAGGGACAATTTCCAGAACGTCATGCACCAGGGACACAGGAAACATTAGGTAAAAGGAAAATCTCTCTAAGGAAAGGGAAAATCCCCTAATAGACAATTCCCCTTGCTCTTCTGTTACTGTGATATCTCTGAAATTTTTAACTTCCTATCACTTTCTGTACCATAGAAAAGGGTCACCAAAAGAATAGAGATTGTGAATCTCCCCAACAGTGACAGAAACAACAAGAAAACCTGACAGGGAGTTTTACACTTGCCTAATCTGTTCATCACTTTACAAAAAAAAATGTTTGGGTTGTACAGCCAGTTTGGGCCGATACAGCAGGAGTCGATCATTAGATCATCCAGCAAGGCATTCATCCATCTACACTGTTCATCATCTATGAAGGAATCTGTTCTATTTTTTTCATTCAGCCTGCAGGTTGATCAAAAAAAATAGAGCCACGTATACCCTACTTTCCAACTCTGGCACAGAGGTGTAGTTAAAAGAGAACTGTGGGGTATTTTTATCCCATAGTTCTCTTTAGGGTCATGGGAGGACATATATTAACATCCTCCCGTGACCCAAAGCTCAGTATATAGCGTGCTATTGCAAGCTAAATACTGAGAGTGCTGCAGCCGGGACAGATCCCAACAATACTGTCAAGATCCTACCAGCTGGCTGATTGACACCGGGCTCTGCCTATCTAGAGGCAGAGCCAATCCCTGTGGGGAGCGATGACTGACAGTCACCGCTCTCTGCAGGGAGATGATCGGAAAGTGAGCGAGCGACGGTATGTGTCCGCTAACTTCCCGATCTATAGAGCCGACATGTGACAGTTTCAAAGTCATGTCAGCTCTAACTATGAGGATAAGTGGAAATCAATCACCTCATAGTTCTCCTTTAAGGAATATTTCCTTTCATTCTGGGAGATTTCCCCTCACTTCCTGTTATGTCTCTGGGATAAGAAGTGAGAAGAGGTCTTCCAGCAGGGGCAAGGCAAATAAAATCTGACCAGAGTTTTAACCACTGGCTATACTATCCAAAACCAAAAAAAGGAAACATGTTTTAGCTTTAGATATAATATGTTAAGTGAAACATAGCCAGGTTATGTTTAAATCAATTTCCTCTAGGGCAGATTTATCATGTTATATTTAAAATCAATCCAAAATTTCCCAAGCTGTACTGGATTACAGTGAGCATGGAGACTTAGCCTTCCTAGAAAGGGGTATGCTATTGGAGATCTATGATGCCTCAAGGTACAGTCTGATTTTGGGCCAGGCCTATTATGTGTAGATTTTGAATTAGAAATATTGGCAATAAAATTGTACACTGCCTGTGACATATTTCATTCATGAGCCAAAGAAACAGAAAGCGTGTTTTTTAAATATATGTACTGTATTTTAAGCATGCTGCATGCTGCATGTACTGACCATTATATTACAATTCTCTAGGAATCTTTTGTCTGCTGCGCCAAACTTTCCTCTAGTGCATTGCTTGAAGATCTTCTTCCTAATCATGCATGGTATGTGGGGGTGCTGCTGATTATAGAGGTTTCCCTTCTCTTCTCTTTTTGGTGTTTGCGCATTCATTTGCATGCTCTTTTGAAATCATCTTTAACTGGAATATAAATCAAGTAAGAAGGCCAACCAAATTTTGTCCATTGCAATTAGTAGTGCGCATCTTTTAGAGAGTTTTGCTGACAGGCCCAGTAATGTAGATTTGGCTGTGCTGCTTTGCCTCATATAAAATGAGAAGACCTTGTCATAAATCCATCTTGCGGCATGCTACATCTTGGCATGACTCTCGGTCTCTGCTCAGCAAGAGTCATATAACAGATGATGTGAATGGAAACTACATTTCCTGTCATGTGTGGGAAAGTCACCTCCAGAATTCTCAAACCTGGATAGTGCAAGCCCAGGACATATTATGGTGGACGGGAGCTCGTAAAGTTCTGTTTACATTTACAATGTGTCAGTAGTGAATTTGTACTCTCCTGAAGGTTGGGGAAAGAAGGTGTTACATTCATTACATTCTTTGCTTTAGCTCCAGACTTGTGTTTCATGACGCTTTGTACACCTCAGAATTAGTATTTATTATGGAAGGATAGGCAAGAACTGCTAATTTTCTGCCTGCTACTTTTTTGTAAGAGGTACAGATCATGTGCAGGCATCTTAGATCAGGGCTCTTAGTTCTAGGGTGGTTGCACTTACTTTCATTTATCCAACAAAGCTGGTTTCTTCCCAATTAGGGCAGAGTCACAAGCATAATGCAGGTGTCCTGACAAGTCTAGGCTCTGTCTGTTAACAGCACAGATGGGCCTCACAGGGACACACAATCTCCGGTCTTTAAGCACTGACAGACAGAAGCTATCCCTTCTCCACACACACACAATTTTAAGCCACCTGTGATTTTCTCCAGTATAAAAGAACCCAGAGCCCTCAAAGCAAAGGAATTTGTACTCCTGGCAAAGGTTTTTTTTTAACCTTTATAGCTCTTTACCACACAAATTGTCCCAGCCTGGGTGTCAAGTATATCCAATTCTAGACCATACCCTGGATTCTCTAGGCATCTTTATCACAATGTATAGTTTCTTTTTTTATATTGAGAACAATTGGTTTCTCCTTTCTTCAAATTGTTTTACTTAAAGTAAAAACTCATTTTAAAAAAGGGAAAAAAAAACATTCATTTTGAAACTCTAATGGCATCCATTTGTTAAATCTTCTGGGGTTGATTTACTAAAGGATTAGCACATGTTCACTTTGGAAAGTAAATATACATTTAGCTTAGTAAATGAAGTGAAGCTAAGTGAAAGTTAGAGAGTAGCCAGTCATGTGCAAAGAAAATTAACAGGTCTATTCACAAAAGGGTGAAGGGGTTGGAGAAGGCAGGATAAGTGAACAATATACAGGTGAAACTCGAATAATTAGAATATCGTGCAAAGTTCATTTATTTCACTAATTAGAATTAAAAGGTGAAACTAATATATGAGATAGACTCATTACATGCAAAGCAAGATAGTTCAAGCCGTGATTTGTCATAATTGTGATGATTATGGCTTACAGCTCATGAAAACCCCAAGAACCCCAAATCCACAATCTCAGAAAATGAGAATATTACATGCAATCAATAAAACAAGGATTGTACATAGAACAATATCGGACCTCTGAAAAGTACAAGCATGCATATGTACTCAGTACTTGGTTTGGGCCCCTTTTGCAGAACTTACTGCAATTACTTTTGCATGATATTCTAATTATTCGAGTTTCACCTGTAGGACAACACAGCTGTACTGGAAAGTGAGCTGAATTAGATACTTTTTCCAAATCAGCTATTTTGGCCTCGATTATTCACTGCTCCTGTCTTCTCCAAACTCTTCTTCCTTTTGTGAATAACCCTGTAAAAAAATTAATACATTCACTAAGCTAAGTGGAAATCCACTGCACAAAAAGTAGACGCCTTATACTCCTTTAGTAAATCAACCCCATGTCCTCGAGATTATTTGGACAATATCAGTACAGTTGTTGACTAAAGTTATGGTATTATAACATAATAACAATGCTCATGTAATTGCATGCTTTTATAATATCTATTTAAGAACAATGTACAACAGTCACAAAAGTCACATTGTTTACAAATGTTTTTATTCCTCACTGGAGGTCAGAAATTCCCATTCTGGAAATGTTGGTGTTGTTGACATCCAATACACTGGTCTTATTACTAACAGATAAACCACCACATAGTTGAAATAAACACCTGTGTAGATGCCACAAACACATCCTTGTACAAGATGATTTTCATTTGCTGCTTTTACTAAGTAAAACAAGTACCATGTATGTCTACAGCCTCAGCAGAAACTGGATGTTCCATGTCTAGACAGATGGCATTCAGTTGCTGTTGTGTGTCCCTAGAATGAATGGTATGCTCTGGCTATGATATGTTAAAGGGTTCTTGGCCTTCTTGACTTGAGGAGAAAAAGCTGCTACATTTAGGTCTCTGACTATATATACTATAATGAACTTCTTCTGTAGGTCATCCAGTCATGCTGCCTAGGCTTTTATGAAACACATCTGGGTCCAGTTTGACCAAACATATAACCAAATCATAAAGGTTAAAATAAGATTACTGCATGCTCCTTTTAATGAACCATATAATATGTGGATTAGTGAGTTTGCTTTAAGATTGTTAATAAAAGTTACCCAAAGCTATTTTATGACCATTGAGTGGTGGTTAGGATTAGTCAGGTAATGTCAGACCTTGCTCTATGGTTGGATAATCTGTAATTGGTTTACAAGTGTTTAGTGTCTTTGGTGTACACGTCAGTGTGGGCTTTGTGAGGTGAGGTAAAAAGATTTTTTGATCAAATATCTACAGGTGTGAGAAAACATTTGTGAGCAGTTATATATATAACATGTGTAAATAATGTTATATATATAACTGCTCACAAAAACAATTGTTATCACTAGTCTCACAAAAATAATGCACTATTGTTTGTGATCGCACTGTGGGAATTGCTGTGCCACGCGTTTTGGTGCAGGTGATCGCACTGCTGGACGGGAGGCGTGGCTACGGTGCCATTGACTTGAATGGCACCTCCACTCCCCCTCCCATCCCAGAATGCAGGGTTTAATTATGCAATCCAGTGCGTTCCAGCTGGAATGCACTGGAAGGCATGTGAACATGCCCTAAACCACTGTGCGTTTCTAATTTCCAGGTGCAACTGGACATAGCCCCACATTCCTCTCACAGGTCACCTTTCTTTCACTCTCAAGCTTGCACAGGCTCTTTTATAGTTACAGAAGTATCTTGATATGTATTGGATTTTTTTTTAAAAGACCAGGAAGCACCTGCCATTTGCATGGTCTTCCCAGGCTCTTTCCATAGTTCCAAAGGGCTAGGGGAGCAGACGTCATTCTGCTGGAAAAAGTCCTGGATATAGGAGAAAAGGATGCAGACACTTAATAACTGAACCATCCTATACCTGTAAATGGACCCCTTTATCAAGTATTCTCAGGCTGCAATTTCCTTATTGACCAGGAGAAGTCTGTAACAGGCAGCAAACACCTTCCAGATGCGTCCACTAATCAGAGGCAGACTAAAACGCCTCAGAAAACATTTTGCCTTTTCAGAGCTAAAAGTTGTTTGCGTACACTACGTAATGGATATACAACATTATGGGGTCTATTCACGAAGCAGCCGAAGGATCTAGCCGTAGCTTCGGCCGATCCTTCGACTAGCTTCGGCCCCAGGACCCCTTCGGTTCAGTATAACCGAAGGGCTGCTGTACGGGCTATTCACAATAGCCCGTACAGCTCCCAAACTTAGCCGAGCGGCTCAGTCGAGCCCAAGGCATATGCCTCAGCTCAGCCGCGCTGAAAGCCGAAGCTGGCCAATGGCCGGCCGACAGCCTGCTTCTAACAGCTGGGCGGAGGGACACTGATCTCCAGACATCAAACTCTCCCGGGCGCTCCGGGAGTCTCCCGGCCGCCCAGGAGAGAAACACTGCTTTTTCTTTTTTTTTCTTTATTCTCCCGGGAGAGGTTTTTTTTTTCTTGACGGCAGCAGAACCGCCGGCCAATAGAAAACTGTTGGGCGGAGCTAACTGTCATTGCTAGCTCCGCACAATCGTTTTCTATTTATTTTTTTGGACTTTTTAAACTATTTTTCTGTTCTGCTCGGTCCCTCAGAGGGACCAAGCAGAACAGCCGAGCCGAATGCCGCTCAGCGGCATTCGGCTATTCACTCACTGCTGTTCGGCATCTATAAGAATAGACCAAACAGCAGCGAGTAGCCTGCCGGAGGTTCGGCTTAGCCGATCCAGATGTTGGATCGGCTGAGTCGAACTCCTCCTGCACTTCGGGTCGGCCGAACATGCTGGGCATGTTCGGCCGACCCAAAGCCACGTGAACCCACCTGATGTACGGCTGATTTCAGCCGATATACGGCTGAAGTAAGCAGTACCAGCCTTAAGTGAATGGCCGAACAGCATTTGGCTCACTTCGCTTTAGGTCGGTCATTCACGGCTGCCTATGGCAGCTTAGTGAATAAACCCCTATATATCCATCTATTAATCCATATCTATCCATTTATATCTCTCTGTCACTTGGATGTCTCCAACATAACCTAAAAGTTACTCTCTGGCAGAAACATCTGCAGACCTTCTGAAAACATGGGAAAAACTGAAAACATGTGGATGCGACAGTTTAATGTGCTTGGTGTACGCTCAATGCATGATCCATCATCCTTAATGAGAAAACCTAAATGGACATCTGCACATACATTATGCTCGTTTCTTCCCCAGATTTTCTGTGTCCTGCCAACAAAGGAATAAAGAGACCTTGTCATTTTCTGAATCCTTTAAAAATTTAATTTTTATAAGCATGCCTTATGATTATTAGAGGGAGGCATTAACATTATTTTTTCTTTTTGAAGAATAATGATAACCATATAAATACAGTTTATCTCTTAAATCTCAAGCTATAATTTTATTTATTTAAATAACTGACATCATTAACAGAATACCAAAGGTCATCTAGACAGCGGAACTCAGGGCAGCTGTATGAGTATGTAAGTAGGCCAAAATATTAGTAGAGATGTTTACTGCAGAGTCAGCACATTTGCTGCCGGCTCCCACATCTGACAGCTGCAAAAGGTTTGGAGTTCTTCACCACCAATCCCATTATTTCAAAATTAATTTGCATAGCCTAAAACTGCATTGTCCATGTACAAGAATTGTACTTTAATGCTGTTTTTTGCTAATTCTGCAGTACATTTTCTGGGATTTTTTATGACAATGCAGCATATGGATTCATATCTATTTTTACTTTTTGTATACAGTATTATAAGATTGTACAATGCTTTACAGAACACATACATCTTCACATTAGTCTTTACCCCAGATAAACTTCTACCATGGTCATACCTGTGACAGATAAACTTTCAGCCTCACCACAAAGATATTTCAGCTCACAGGACAACAGTCTAAGCACCAGCAGACTGAGAGTGACCCACATACGATAGCCACCACCACATGTTTTAATGGAAACATGTACCTTTCACAGCATGCACTGTTGCAATTCTGACCTTTAAAATTGTCTGTAGTGATGTGTTCGGATCAATTTGAGATTAAGTCCAATCTCATATTGCAACAGTCGCTGGTTCTCATATATTATTATTATTATTATTATATTATATTATTATACAGTATTTATTAGCCTTGGGGGACCCCTACAGGAAGAGGAGGGGAGGATTTAGAATTGTAGATGATGCTAAAGGAGCGCATAGATAGGTAGGAGGAGAACCACGAGAGAGCAGAGTCTTGTAGGCCAAGTGAGTGGAGTTTTTTGAGGAGGAGCAGGTGCTCAACAGTGTCAAAAGCAGCAGAAAGATCTAATAGCAAGAGTAAGGAATAGTGGCCTTTGCTTTTAGCAGTGAGTAGGTCATTAGTGAGTTTTAGGAGGGCGGTTTCAGTGAAGTGTTGGGGGCGAAAGCCAGATTGTAATGGGTCAAGAAGGTTGTGATCAGCGAGGTGGCGACGTAGGTGGCTGTAGATGAGGCGATCTAGGAGTTTGGAGGGGAATGGGAGTAAGGAGATTGGTCTGAGATTATTGAGGTCGGTAGGGTCCATTGAGGGTTTTTTAGGTATTGGGGTGCTTCAGAGGGGAGGGAAAGATTCCAGTAGAGAGTGAGAGATTGAAAATGTGAGTAAGAGAGTGTAGGATAGAGTATGAGGGTGACCGAAGTAGCGGTGAGGGAACAGGGTCCAGGGGGCAAGTGGTCAGGTGGGTGTCAGAGAGAAGCTTTGTAACCTCCTCTGTGGTGACGGGGTCAAAAGAGGAGAGTAACAAGTGTGAAGGAGGGTCTGGCACATGAATAGGGGAAGGTGACTGCACAGTGGCGATCTGATCCCGAATTGTATCTATTTTGTTTTTGAAGTGAATGGCAATGTCCTGGGCAGTGAGTGAGTTAGTGGGAGGTGGCGGTGGAGGACGAAGTAGAGAGTTAAAAGTAGAAAAGAGTTGGCGAGGTGTGGATGAGAGTTTGTTAATGAGAGTAACAAAATAAGTCTGTTTGGCAGCACGGAGAGCGGAGTTATAATTTAGGAATCTTAGTATTCCTTAATAGATGCAATGGTCAAATGAAAGCTGCCAGTCACTTGTGCTGCTATCTTTCTTGTCCCTATGGACAGGGTGTTGCAGAGCTAATCCCACGCAAAAGGTCTGAGGGGTATTTTGTAGGTGTGCTGGAGTGATTTATTATGCCCAATGAACATGCCCTCAATGCCAATTATTTTGGGTACATCTATATTTCCGTATGACAAGGTTTCACAATCTGAAAACCAGCATATGATTTATCAGAATGAAATTATAATTAGTTAGATACCAATTTTAACAGGTCTATGATGCGTCTTTCTCCTATGAGGTTTAATGTGTCTTACTAGCCTTCTGGGCCTTGTAATATAGTCGTGTTTGGAGTTGTTTCTTCTCCTCCATTAATGCAACCCTTTTTTGGGAAGGTGAATTCACAGTAGGGATTATGAAATATGTGTGGATCTACGAGGAGTTCAGCTATAGGTTAATGAGGTCACTACCCCAGTATTTTAATCAGGCAGTCTTGTTACTGATGTTTCAAATTTGGAGAAAATTAGGGTGGCATTGTGTGTAGCCTCACTTCCCTATTCTCCCACACACAGTTTGAGGTTCATGAGGCCTTACTATTACCACAATACCATTACAAACTCTATGGCTAATTTTGGCAGAAGCCAGTTAATCCAGCATACGTATATTTTGATTTTTTTGGGGGAGCTGAAACACCTGGAGAAAACACATATATTGGGAAAGCATATATACTACATGTAGAGAGTTCTCCTAGTGGGAATTAAACACAGGGTCCAACTGCTATAGGACTTCAGTTCTAATCACTTACAGGTTTACTCACAAAAGGGTGAAGAGTGTGGAGAAGGCAGGAGAAGGGAAGAATCGAGGACAAAATAGCTAATTTGGAAAAATTCAGCTCACTTTCCAGTTCAGCTATGTTGTCCTAGATTGTTCACTTCTCCTGTCTTCTCCAAACTTTTCACCCTTTTGTGAAAAGCCCTGTTAATGTGACTTTGTTGCTATTTAAAAAGGCAAAATAAAGCCAACACTGCAAAGAAAACAATGAATATTTACCAGTTCTGCTGTCCACACTACCAAACTGCAGTGTTAAAGATCTAAGCTTGCTGAAAGACCTTCAGCATCTGGCACACTTCTGGTTGTGTCAGTTTCCTGGCCCCTTTTGTCCTGTAGGGATGTAGGGCCAGCGGTGGAAACCACAGAGTACCACTCCTGCCAAAAATCTTAATTTTAGTTATAGATATAGTGGAGAAAAGCTAGAATCTCTTTTAGGTTTTTACTGCTGCCTGTGTCTAGTTTGTGGAAACAGTCTGTCTGACACCTGCAAAGAAAGTGAGGGAAGTATTTCGCTAGACTTTAGCTTTAACCACGACTTATGGATTTCAGAGAGCAAACGTCAGTCATCAGTTTCTACCAAGTCCCACCCTGCCTAATCCCCTTATGCAGGCTTCATCCTGATTTGGTCAATACATGAATTTGTCACAATCATGTTAAAAGATTCTGTCAATGAAAGGTAATGATCAGCTATTAACAGCAGAAATGTTATAACAAAAATAAAATAGCTTTTGGAAAATTGGAAAATAGCTTCAATAACAAGTACGTCTCAAAAGTCCTTGTTGTGTATCCTAGGTTAACTAAAACATATGCCAGTTGAGGCAAACATCATTTAAAGTGACACTAAACTCAGGAGTTAAATCTTACAAATGCACTATATTATCAAAAGTATTGGGACACCCCTCCAAATCATGGGATTCAGGTGTTCCATTAAATGTCCTTGCTACTAAATATTCCACAGGTCAACTGTTGGTGGTAATGTAACAAAGTGGAAGCAACTGGGAACAACAACAACTCAGCCACAAAGTGGTAGGCCACGTAAAATGACAGAACGGGATCAGCTCATGCTGAAGTGCACAGTGCGCAGAAGTCGCCAACTATTTGCAGAGTCAATAGCTACAGACCTCCAAACTTCGTGTGGCCTTCAGATTGGCACAACAACAGTGCGTAGAGAGCTTAATGGAATGGGTTTCCATGGCCGAGCAGCTGCATCCAAGCCTTACATCGCCAAGTGCAATGCAAAGCGTCGGATGCAGGGGGGTAAAGCATGCCGCCACTAGACTCTAGAGAAGTGGAGGTGTTCTCTGGAGTGACGAATCATGCTTCTCTGTCTGGCAATCCGATGGATGTGTCTGGGTTTGGCGGTTGCCAGGAGAACGGTATTTGCCTGACTGCATTGTGCCAAGTGTAAAGTTTGGTGGAGGGGGATTATGGTGTGGGGTTGTTTTTAAGGGGTTGGGCAAAAGTAGCCACCCTCCAGAAGGAATGACAGTGTCAGCACCAATTCAGAGATGATCTACAGCCGAGGGACACGCAAATGAGATACATTTTTGTTGATAAGGTACTTGAATGCATTTTTAAGATTTAACTCCTGAGTTTAGTGTCACTTTACATCTGCTACATCACATGCTGCTTTTGGGCCGATATACGGCCACCCTTTTGCTGGCCATATACAGAGCAATTCGTTGGTAATTTTCAAACACACCTATCCACACTGTTTCAAACATATCCTAGTTTTAAGTGACCAAATGATCAGATCAGTTTTGTACAATGTGGGCACCATTTATCTCAGTGTTTCAGGAAGAACTGAATAGGTCCAAAAGATTTATCAGATTCCCTTTATCATTCTCCAGTTGCTATTTTACAGTACAGTACAGGTTTGAATGCAGATTCTCCTTGTGTAACAGTTCATTGTAGACAACTTGGTAAATCTGATGTAATGTCTTTTGCAATACAAGCCCTAATTGTTTTTTGTTTTTGTTTTGTTTTATGCACACAGGCATAATACAGTAGGTGGATCAATGAAGATTTTGTTCAGTGACATGGATCCAGAAGAACTGGAGATGCAAGAGTTTTTCCTATAATCCTGTCTTCTAACAAATTTCCAGAGATCACACCTTCCAATCCTTGGCTCCCATGAGGCCTTATGATGTCTTTTTACACTTTGTGTTAGTGTGGTTGTTTGGTGTAGATACTTCACTACTCAGATGTTGACTTTTTGTCTTTGTGATGACAAGTCTTTTTTATACTGCACTGCATGGACAGTGATTTGTGATATGTCTGACTCTAGTTTCAGTTGGTAAAGAAAATATTTTGGGGTTTTTTTTGCCTCATTTTCCTCTTCCATTATTGTACACTGTATTTATTACTGACAAAGTTCATCCTATTGCTTATGATACAAAGGAATCAATTCCCCATTGCATTAATCTTTCCATTTTTAGGGGTTCACAGAAGATTGCTTACATTGCCTTTAACATGTCACTCCACTTTTTAAGTAAATCAGATTCGTAGAATCACAAGTAGTATTTAAAATAAATGTTCACATTTACCTTTTCTTGAGTCATTTGTCATTATGTAAGCCAAATTTCTGTTGCTGAGTAGCAACTGAAAGCAATGCTTAAAACTGCACTGGAATCTGTGTGCTAACAGTGCTGCACAAAACTCCCCCTTCCCTAATTTTGCCCTAGTTATGAAAATGGTAAGAAACCCATAGGAGAAGGCTGTTATAATATCCCATTATTATAAATGTTGCCATAAGCTGTAAAATCAAGTTGTACCTATTTGAACTTCATGGCTAGAGATGAGCACATAATTCAAAATCCTCTGCTCTGGCAATTTGTCATATCATCTCCGTCTTTGATAATCTTGAACATGCCCTTTCAGATATTTATTTTGTTTCTATTATTTCTAAGTAATGCAATAGAAAAAAAACAATCTACCTCTGCCCCTAGTACACAAAAGTGTAAAGATAATCAACAGGGATCTTCTGATTTTATCCATCCCACATGGGGAACAGGTAAGTTACACAACACATAAACCACCTTGATTCCGGCACCTTCTTCTGGGGTACTAAATTCAGTGACTTCAGCATTGGGCTATTGTTTGCAAAGGGGAGCCCCTATTGGTTTAGGGTTGCTTTATTAAAGCGTTGAGCCAGGTTGAAGGTAAAGCAAGTGTGACAGGTTGACATCATGAATCCCATGATGTTTATTTCTAAATGTCATTAAAAAACTAATTTTAAAAGGTAACAGGGGGTTTGATTATCCGAAGATTAGGTGATATTTCTTGGTAGGTGTCTGCTGCAAATCTTCCTATCTTGGTGGAATCTTGAACTCAAGTCATTCATCTCATGCTTCATTCTGAATGACAATAATATAATTGTATCATGTCGCTCTCAAAAGACAACACTTATGTTACTCCTACATTCATATAGCCAGGTTTAAATTGAACTTTTGCAGGGATTTCTAAATAGGCAACAGAAAGAAATGATTGACCCCTTAGCTTTACAATCATCATACCAGAACTGCCTGGAGCTCTCTCAAAGTTATACAGATAGGGACTTTTAGATGGTATTTTTTCATGAGCATATTCATGTGCCACAAATATTAATTCCAAGCCTACTGATAGGTCACTCAGGCCCAGAAATGGGTGCAGGGATATGAATAAATGAATATTTAGCAATAACATTGAAATGTGACAGAGGTTGTTCTGGGCAGTACTAGAGGTGCAAATGTGAAGGTAGGTGGTATAAATTGTTAGCAGTCCTATCATACTGAAAATGTAGTACCCCCACTCTGCAATCTACAGGTTGGCTTTCAGAAGAACCTCATACAGGTTCATGTCCTACAGATAAAGAAATGGGAATATAATTCACTTAAATAAATGACGGTCTTCTTGAACTTAAACAGTAAGGCCAGCTAATTTGCACTATCACATGTAACTCTAATAGTGCTCCACAAAATGTATCAAATTAAATCTATATTTTCCTGTACTGTATAGTTTTTAATGGTAAAGTTAAAATATAACTATACTTTTGCTACAAAAACCTCAGTCACCTCTTCTTAACCTCCTAAGCTAATTTAACCCAGAGCGCAAACCTTAGTCCATACTTACCTCTCCATGAAGGCAGTGGTCTACCACAGTGTTTACATACTTGGTGCCTAAATCTTCTCTGGCACTTTTAAAATTTAAATTGAGTTGTACAACTAGTGTATCTACTGTAGGAGTATGGTTCCATTCATGTTTTTCTCTGAATATAGTGCAGAAGTGGGGAAGTTTTGAATGCTTGATGTCTGTTAAGCATTGATAAGCTGCCCAATCTCTGGTGTTAGTAACACCAGGTTCTGAACTTGCTTTGTTCCCTCACATAATGAGATCAGGAATATATATATATATATGAAACAATTTCATGGAGATTCCTGTATTTCTGTGGGCAATATGTAGTCACACTAAGTAGAGGACATGGCTATTATTTCTACAACCTAATATTCATTACAGCTTTCAGTCTAGTCGCGGTCTATAACACTGGTTGCCAGTTTTAAATTATAACCAAAAATGGAACAGCTTCCAAAAATTCTAATTCAATTCAGACAGTTTTGTAATCCAGCAAGCATAGCTAAGTCCTGACCATTTACTTTTCTTCACTGCAATCAAAGTAATACAGCTTGGTCAAGACTATGATTGGGTAGTGAAAGAACAGCAGCTCACCGATGAGGCCATCTCTGTGCTCTCTCCTGAAAGCTCCATTCACAGCACTGTACAATGCAGTAAAGTTTAATTGGCTTAACATGATGCCTTTTCCTCCCCCAGGCTGAATACTACTGTGTAGAAGATTATGAGAGGCTAGTACAGAGGTAGTATTTAAAAACATTTAAGTATTTTTAATGAATGCATAACTGCAATACCACATTCCACCAGCAAGTTTGGGGTCTTGTTTGTTATGACACATCTCTGGCAGACCCCTTTATGTTTCCCTTTCATTAGTGTTTGTATGTGTCAACAAGCAAACAAATGTCCATCCAAGTTCCATATAAGACAATAGATAACATTTAGCACAGTTTCTGAATTCACAGTGAAATGTGTGTACGAAAAAAAATGTTGCATGGGATGACCGCAGCACATCATTTTCTACTGTAAATTAATTGCATTTAGTTTTTGATTTTTTTCACATTATCTTTTTGTAAAGAAGAGGTTGCTTTTTTCTGAGCCTTTTGCAATTTAGAAAACTGTTGATTGGGTGGCTTGCTAACTTTAGAACAGACAATTAAATTGTTTCTTTTGTACAATCGCTGTTCCATAAATAATAGGACAGCACTCAGTCTTGCTGTAAGAAATATTTTTGAAAAATCGGCACTTTTTTCTATTCTAGCCTATGTTGGGTTTGACATTGTGAAATTGATGTTTTTAAGAGCTGTACATTTTGGATGCAATTAACAATAAAACTGAACTTGCAAATCTTGTGTCTGATTGAATTCTCTGTATTCTCTTGTAATCTATAGTTTTCCAAAATAGATTATCTGAGAGGGGCAAAGAGTTAGGATGTTGTTAAAACTGACCTAAAGCATCTAATAAGATTTTACATTTCTCCATTTAGAAACATCAGAACAACCATGGAAGATGATGGCTTTGGATAGCTGTACTTTGGATACCTCACCCTAGAGAGTGGGAAAAAAATGTGTGTGGTTCTTGCAGCAGGAATCACAGGTGGGTCTTTACATCTGCAGGTGTTCAGCCTGTACAAAGTAGTGACAGGCTGGCAGGAGCCACATCTGCGGTTACCTGCAGTTGGGGACAGATGTCAATCTGTCTGCATCCAGGGTTGGAGTCCAGGGCCTGTCATATGTCCCTAGCCCCAGGTAACTTCTGGATATGTAGACACAGGAGGATAGCGGCGCACAGCTGTGGCTTCTGTCGTTCTGTCATGCTTTGTACAGGCTGAGCGGCCACAGCTGTCTGGACCCACCTGGTTCCTGCTGCAATAATCTGCATTTGGATATAAAAGGCAGGCATGTAATAGGGTGGTTCTTTTCCCATCATAATATTCCTGTTAATTTATCAACCACTTGATGCTGGTTTTACTAAATGTCTATTAAACATGCAGGCAGAATGCATGGAGGACTGGTTAGAGCGGCATAGGGAAGAAGTTAAAAACCCTTGACCAGTGAGATATCTAGCTAGCAGAGGTCGAACCAGAGGTTATAGAAAACCTACTGCTATGTCTGCAGAGCAGCTCAGACACTTATTGAGAAAGACAAAGAAAATGCAGGTATGCATGCATGCCATTTTACTTACAGTCTCACAGTGTCCTCTTTTACCTGTAGGAACAGAAATATGGGAGCTCTGATTTCTGACCTGTGTCCTGAAATATGCAATGAGTCACTGACCTGAAAAAAGTATGAAGGACACCAGTTCAGTCCTTTAAGACATTGTCCTGTTTGCTCCTGGATAGTGACTCAGGAGGTATTGAAGCTGATGACAGCCCTGATGGCTGCACCTCTTCTGTTTAATACATGAGCTCAAAATAAGCATTCACATTTCACTCTGAAAGGCATATTTAAATCTTCTTCAATCAGCCTGTATGGAAAAGTCATACATTACAAAAACACCATCATTAAACTGAACACCACTCATTTCCAGTAGTGGAAAGATATACATGTATGTACCCATTATTATTATTATCTGTGTGAGTTTATTCTCTGCAGAGTTGGTTAGTGGTATAAATTTGCCGCATAACATAAAAAGGCAATTCTGCATGAGTTTATATTTATTACTAGCACATCTAGAAGGCTCCAAAGCGATGGAGTGAATTGTGGTTTGTCTCCTATAACTGCTAACTCCATCCTGTATTTTGAGAGGTCTGGAAATGACAGAACACCAGACACTTTTAAATGACTTCATCTCAAAAATCAACCCTGCCCCCAAGGGGTACAACAAAAATATTGCATCTCCTGCTTTTTGCTGAAATGTATTAAAATGAAGTCCTAGAGAAATAAAAATAAAGCTAACCCTACCTTAAAACTAACCCTACCCTATGATAGCCCTAACTCTACCAAACAATAATGAAATCAGGCTATTCATTGACATGAGACAGACCTTTATATGAACCATCTATGCAAGGATTACTGACATTTGTCTCCTGTTTCTTCAGATCATTGTCTTGTAGCCTAACCCCTTTCCTAAAAAAATTACCAGATAAAGTTAAATGGGGGGGAAAAGTTTTTATGTTTTTCTAAAGAAATGTAAAAAGATTACAGGGTACTATGGGGGTACCATTAATCGTGTTACTACACTATTGTCCTACATCAAGAAATGAGATCAAATCTTTTACTTGCCAACTTTCATTTTCTACAGCATTTTTAATTAAAGGTACACTACAGTGTACTGAGCCGAGGTAAAAGGCGAAGCTGGCCGAACGGCCGGA